CGGGCGGCTCGGGGATGCTGAGAGGGACGCTGGGGTCGCGGGTGACGGCGAGGTCGAACGCTTTGCTCTTGTATGGCGCGGAAGATCCGAACGATCCAATGACAATCGATGCGACGATTGGTTTCTCGGATGTCAGGAATTGGTGGGGTAGGTCCTTGTGAGACTGGATTTGTTAGCTGTGCTGGCAGCCATTGCAACGCTCAACCTACCAAATCGACCTTTCCCTTGCCGCTGTCCTTTACACTGAACACAAAAGACTCTTCCAAGCCCGTTGTTGGTTCGGTCAGAGTAAGGAATGCCTGATGAGGTCGCTTCGCGGTGCTTCCATCAAGGGTTGTGAGGACAAGCTTCAATGTATCTGTTGCGCCCAACGATACAGATTTGCCCAGCGGTGTCGAAGGACTCAATCTAAATGCCAGTTAGTCCTGCAACAATTGCACAAAATGCAAGCTCAAGCTCACTTGTCCTTTGAACCTCCGCCAACACCAGCACCTTTGCTGGTAATAGTCACGGTGGCATCCTCAAAGCTCCATGAGGAAGCTGCGGAGACGATAGCCGCGCCCGAAAGTAAAAGAGAGGAAACGAAGCCTTGAAGAACCCTCATCGTTGCTGATTCGGAAAGAGTGAACGCGGAGCTGTCAATGTTGCGCCGACATAGACGTAAGCGTGTCCTTTGCCAAGACTTCGGTCGGCATCTTCCGGCGCTAGTCGCCCGTTCCTTCCCTCGTCAATTCAACTCACACGCGCGGAGAGCGACGTCATTCGATTCACATCTGATCATCATGTATCAGTCCGGAGGTCATATTGAGCTGTAGTCAAAGCATACTCACAATGATGAAAATCCTTCGATCGTTGCGTCTCTCTGCAAGAACTCACACATACAGACAGCCATACTAACGGACCTTTCTCCTGCGCAACAGCATCCTCCACCTGCGCTTGGTCTTTGGAACCTCATCCTCTGGGCCCTCTGGGCCTTCTGGATCCTCTGGACCCTCTGCATCCTCTGAATCATCCAGATCTGCTATCCACAGCACATTAAGTATCAATCTTACCCAATGTCTTTCATCCTTCGGAAACATCTCCATCCACTCCTCTTCAACAGCCACCAAACATGCCACATCCCCACCCTTGTGCCTTCCGCGCGTCGCATCACGATACATCTCCAGAAACCGAACCCCCCGCGTCGAAACCAGCGTCCCAAAGACAGCGAATCCCAGATCCGGTACCCGTAGGTGGTAGTTATTGAACGCAAACGGATCCACCATTACATTACTTCTCAGAACCCTATAAGGATCATAACTTAACTCTCCCAACCCAACAACAGACTCTTTCCTCAAGTCCTGTATCCTCTTCTCAATCACATCTGTCGTAACCGCATCTCCAATCCTCCTCTTAAAATCCAATTTCTGCTGCAGCTCATCCAATCCACGTGGCGGATACACAACGGCATACTCCGGTTCCCCATATATATGGTACCGAGCAGTGCTATAGTCGGTTTGCCAACACCTAGCTATGGCTTCTGAGATGTCGTGCCTGTCACACTCGCTGACGTTGTCGGAATAGTATTCCGGTTGTTGCCACCATTCTGTTCGGCAGAGGGGACAGCGTCGCGAAGAGCCGGATGAAGTGTCGAGGCTCATTTGGTGGATACAGGCTGAGCCGAGGATGTGGTTGCAGCCGGGGAGGTTTATGATGGCGAGGGGCTTGTCGAGCATTTGGAGGGCGAGGTTCTCGCTGCCGTAGGGGAGCTGGCAGATGGCGCATGTGTCTTGTTCTGAGAATGGGTGTAGTTGCTTGGTGGAGGTGTGGTTTGCGATGAACTGTGAGTAGGTTCGGGATGTGGAGCACTTCGTGCAGCAGGGGTTGTTCTCTGCTGGAGTAGTGGACATGGCTATCTAGATATTCAGCAGTCTTGGGGAAGATACTAGAGGTCGTGGTAGAAGGCAGATAAATAGATTGACGAACACTTCAAGCGCGTTGAATGAAGAGCAATCTTGAATTCCATGCTTTGCACGATCTGCCTCGTCAGGTAGAGTGATGAACAATTCATGACTAGTGCCTGCCACGCTTGATCTTGTGGAAGTGAAGTGTTGAATGTGATTTCGAAGTGGTGAATAACATAATACTAACTCCTGAAATATTCGATGGGTATGTTTCATCGTTTTAAGTTACAAAAGGTTGCATCTGTGGCTAATACCACAGCCCCGTAGCGCGTGAAGCGCAGGTGTTCGTGTAGTGACAGACGCACTGCTTCCGAATTCCCAGATCATGTCCGTACAATATGCGGTGTATATACAACGAAGGTGTGTCGTCCGAATCGTGACAAGAAGCGCAGTGCATCTCTTCACAGTCCCTTCTCTTGATCAAAGGGTTCCTCATGGTAGTCAAGTTCTCCGTGACTTTGTGGATTTATTTTCCGACAGTCTTATCTTTCAATTCCTTCGTCTTCTCAGCGACCATGTCAGTCACACCCTTAGCCTCCTCTCCCACTCCCCTCGCCTTCTTAGCCATTCTATCCTTCCAGGCCTTGTCTTCCTCGTCTCGCATCTCCAACTCCCTCAGCCACCTGTCCCTCTTGTCCATGCGCTCCTTCTGAGCAACCTGCTTCTCGTACTCCTTGCGCTTCACGCGATCCTTTTGCCAGTACATATTTCCTGCGACCAGTACGGCGATTGTGAAGGCTTGGGCGTATAGACGTCGGCGGAAGTACATGTTGGTCGCCTTGTGGTCGCCTTTTCGCATCGAGCGGGTTGCACCGATGATGGCCCAGACGGTCAGGCCGCAGCCGAGGGGGACGAGGGGCTCTTCGCGGAAGCGGCGCCATATCTTGTCGAGGGTGTTTTCATTGTAGAAGTCGCTGGATGACGTAGTTAGTGGGTGTAACTTGTTAAATCCTCAAGTTTATCTAGAAGAGTTAATGAGTCCACATACGCATTCTCGTCGAAAGAAGAGGGCAGAGGCGCGCTGTTGGGTGGTCCGAAAGACATGGTGGGTAGTATGCCGATGCAGATGCGGAGGCGGCGGAGGTGTCGCGTGGGTAGAAGTGTACAATGACACGGTCGTTACATGAACCCACAGATCTAGAAGACTGCGCTAGCTCTGAATGCGCAAATTGAAGCTATACAGAAGCCCTGGAAGCGCTATAACAGGTATAGAGTGGGTTGTGTACGGCTTCAAGATGCGGAGCAATCGATTATCTCACCACTTCGGCCATCGGCCCTTCATGATGTTCCAGGCCCGATGCGCGCGAGTGGTGCCTACAACTCCATGACCAGAGCTGCGCGAACCACGACAGCCCGGGTCAAGCATCTCTATCCACTCCAAACCACCACGTCGCCTTCAATGAGAGACGAGGCGACAGGCAAACTCCCCTCGCTGCGCCATGAACGATGAGGCCGAGTCGTCTCGAGCTACTCAGCGCCATGACAATACGGCGGCATCCCACCTGGCCGATCTAGAGGATGCGCTGGCCCGCTTTGAAGAGGCGGAAGAGCGAGAGAAGCAGAAGCACGTCAAGCAGAGGAAATTGGATGCGAGGAGGAAGCGCATACAGATGCTGGGCGAACTGTTGCGGGAATTGGACATGATCGTCTACCTGGAACTCATCACGCTCTACCACCTGGAGTACGCTTACCGTTCACATGCTGCTGCTTTGCGCTAATCGTTTCTGCAGCTGCTCGTTCTTCTGGCTCCTGTTCAAGGCACTTACACATGCCTTCCTGCTGACGCCCATCCCCGACACCGCGACCGTCACCCGCCCACCAGACGAACCGAGGCCCTTCCTCCCGCTGCTCCTGATATCGTTTGGAGTAAACTTCCTCTTACATCTTACATATCCCGCGCCCTCGGCTGGCGAAGATACCCGAGGCTATCTGCACGGCGGCTTGATGATAGACTTTATCGGGCAGCAGGGGCCCACGAGCAAGTGGAAGCTTGGGGCGCTCGACATCTGCATCCTGTTCCTGCAGCTTGTCATGGTCTCGGTACACGTCAAGAGGCGGGAGCTGAAGAAGAAACTGGCCAAACTGTCAGCTGGTGGGGGTGCATCAAACACCACTACCACCCGAGCCACGTCAGACTCGGCACCGACAGCGACGGCAGCGGCGACGAATGATAATGCGAACCGAGATCAGGATGCCGATGATGAGGAGCGAGGTGTGTTACACCGAACCGACACGCTGTCAGACTTTGGCATGGATCCCGAAAACGAAGAAGACGCCCTACTATCATCAACCTCGGAATCTGGCCATGCCGACGCTATGGAGCTTCTCAGTTCGGGCCAATGTGTCATTGGCGACTTCACCCTCATCGACACCCTCCTCCAAGAAAACCGAGATTACGCGGCGTACCGATCAACGCGTACCGAGAGCGGCAATAACGACATGCCGGAAACGCTGCAGCGGCTCAATACCTTGCGAACTCGTTTCGGCGTGGGTGGCGGGTGAAAGCAAGTAAGACGTTATCTTATCATCGCCTTGCTCCGATGCACGTGTTCCAACCAGATCCGCGGTGAGACTGCTGTGACATACCATGCACGTCGTCCCAATGAATTATTGCATGCAGCACACAAAGCCATCGCGTACGCCTGGCTCATGCACGTTCGGCTCGGGTGCCCCCACGCGTTCGTTTCCCGTTGTAAGACGGCTGGGATGGATGGCTTATTGCAAGCATTGGTGGCGCCCGGCTTACACTACCCTAGTCACATCATGCGACGTGCGGTTGTGTGATCGCTTAGTTGTGGCGGTACACCGAGCAGATCACCATGGTCTTTGTATGCATGAAGGAGCCTAGAGCATATCGGTTAAGGCGGTTTTGCGGTGGAAATATCACTACATTACCATCCCACACCAGGTGCGCATGATGCCAATGTCGCTTGAGATTCCCGACAATTACTCTATGCCGTTCCTCATATTATGGCGCTCTATCGGAGAGCGTTATCTACCTGGTCTTAAGCAATGAAAGAGACGTGGGTTATAGCAAGCCGGGATTGTTGGTCAGAGCTAGACGATTCCAAGATGCTTGCCAAACGGCACCCACAATACTGCAAAGATTGCCAATACAGTCAGCACTGGTACTGCTGCGTTTTGCCAGTCACCGGGAAACTTGATCAGCCAATAGATCCAGAAGCCGAATGCGGCGAGTAATGGCACGAGGTGATAGACTGCCATGAAAGCGAAGGAGATCGCATGGTCAGCCTCTAGTCCCCAAGCAACAGCGATGGCGTCGTCGGACTGTATGTCGAACTCGCTTTTCTTCTTGGGGATACAGCCCAACCTGTATGAGCGGCATGGCAGACTTACGCAGTCATGCCATGGGTTGAGCCATGGCCATTTGCAGTTCATGTCGCACGCTTTGAGGCAAACTGCGAATGTTTTGGGGGAGATCATTGGGTTCGTACCTGGTCTTGGGTCGTATTCATAATCGTCTTTGACGCCAGGGTAGTCGGGGAGGTCGTCGCCTTGGGATAGCACGCGTCCAGTGTCGAACTTTTCGAGTTTGACGAAGCGGCAGAATCTGAAGCGAAATGGTGAAATGAGTCTCTTGATCCAATTTCGGTGCTTCTTATATCGTGTTTTGAGCTCGCGGAAGAATGCGGGGTCGTTCAGTAGAGCTGTATTGATCTGCTCAACTTCAAGAGACCATCGCGAACCTTGCACACCGAACAGAACGCGCAATGACGGGTCTGGGATAGCAGTTGGTGGGACAGTGGATGGCTGACCCGAAACCTGTGGTGCAGAGCTGCTACTGTTAACTGGCGAAGGGTTGGTGGTATTTCCTCCTGCAGTTTGAGAACTAGCCACTGGTGTTGAGGTGACCGAGGTTTTCGTGGGAGTATAGCGTTGGCTAGCTGTCGATGAATGGGAAGGGCTTGCTGCTGTACCAGCAGCCGCCTTAATCCAGGTCATCGGGAGACTCAAGTACCATTGGCTAGCTCGTGGCTCCGGGGTACGATCGAGGGACTGTGTAGAAGTAGTACTGGGGTACTTTCCAGGGCGCTCGATGTGACAGCAAAAGCATTGTTTTGGGTGATTTGGCAACGAGGGCAAGGCGTATTCAATAATGTTCGATTCGAGTGAAGACAGGGTCTCATATAACTGGATTCCGCCAAACTGCGTGGCTTAGCGGTCTTGCTCGAGCGTCCATGAAGAGTCAGAAACGTACCTTCCACTCAAGACGACATTCTCCAGACGCGACGTCAGGTATACGAGGAGCTAACGGCCACCAGTCCCATTCTACCATCGTTAGATCCTCGAGAGAGGCCTTGGTTCTGTTTGCGAGCGAACTGTCGTTCACAGAAGTCATCCCTGTGATATATCCCGGTGTGTGTATAAACAGCTCCCATATTGGCCTGCGTAGGGTTGAGAGTGCAAGGTCTCTACTGAGAAGATGAGGAATTGTATCGCATCTTGGATCTTTGCCTTCTCTAGACGACAAATTTATGAAGAAACTGTTGTCTGCTTTCGCGTCAGAGGTTTGATCCTTCCAGCATGATTCGTTGGCGTCAGCAATCTCCAGATGAAGGACGATGGCTGAAGCAATGTGCTCCCATTTGGTAATTCGCTGAGCGTCGATATTATCCCTCCGTGCTATAATGTCCTTTGCTGTCGCACTCGCGAGGGTATCGCTGTAATAGCAGCGTAGTAAATCAGAGAACCTGGTGATAAATCGATCCTCACCCATGGTGTTCAAGGCGTATAGGTACAACTCAAGTAGTGGTGAGTCGTGCCTGAGTAGATCAAGCAAGTCACGTTCGAGGCCGGACTCCGCCGATTGTGCAAGGGCACAAATTCGAAAGCCCGGCTTGATGAGGTTCGCGATGAGGTTCACTCGCTCGTCTATATACATTTTGTCGTCCTGCTCACTTAAAGACTTTCTCGACTGCCCTTTCGACGATACAAAATGTTGGAGGTCGGTCCGGAGCAGCTTGAATGCTGCACTTTGAATCAGAAACTCGCGAACGTTCGTGAGATCTTCAAAGCCAGTTTGATCGATGTTTGTCTCTTCTTGCTCATCTTCATCAGACAAGTCCTCTTCATCGGCAGATGAGTCCTCATCCCGCAAAAAAATGGTAACTCTTTTCCCTTCTACTGCCTCTAACTCCGGTGCTTCCCCTAGTTGATATATCTCCAGTATCTTGTCCGAAATCTCTCGTGCCTTCAGTGCTACCAGACGCGCAGCAAGAAAGTCCAAGCGATCCTGTGCCTCATCTTTGAGCCTGTCGACAAATGTTAAAAGCATTCGCCTGAAGGCCTTCACCAACTTCCGGGGTCCAATGACACCATTAATTGCGTTTGTATAGAGTGGATGGAGGAACTCGTCGTCTCGAAATATAGAAACCAACTCTCGAGTTGCCGTAGCGATCTGCACTGGGGAATAGCCACTGCCCTTTGACAGATCAGTAGCGGACGAAGCGAGAGACACAATAGAGAACACGGAACCTTCATCCGATGATGTCACTGACACATCGTCATCATGATCGAGTTCCACAGAAGACCCCGGATCGTATGTATTCGAGTGGGTTGTTGTTCCCTTCTCATCGACGCTGTCTTGGGTTTCTACGTCTGTGTCAATGGAAGCTAGCATAGATGATGAGCTTTGCAGGACGACATCCTTAGGAACGGCTTTTTCGGACTGAGGCCAATCAACAATCTCGGTCGATCTCGGGCGAGACCGCTTTCTGAGCACCGGCAGCACTTCGACTTCCATCCCTTTCGCTCTGGCAGTTGGACCAGTTGAAGCCGTTCCTGGAGCAACATAGTAGGATCTATCCATGGGAACGAATGGTTTGCGAGAGCGATGGCGTATGCTGCGTTCCACCGCTTTGAGGAGACTACAGACTTCCACATATCCAGCAGGAATTTCCACGCGAACCAGCTTGCCATCCTCTTCGACCGTGCTGTAAGTTGTACCATCTGACTTCTGGTACAGGTATCTATGCACGCACTGTCAACCCAGCCACTATCAATACCTTATGACTATCGACTCACCTGGCTACCTGCTGCGCTAAACTAAGACCCACGTTACATAACTGCTCATGATTGCGGTGAACTTCGTACGGATTATGGCAGTAAGCACACTTTCGAGCATGCATTTCGAAATGGTAGCATGCCCAACTCTCCGCGGTATTTGTTGGGCGAGAAAAGCTGTCTACGGGATCTTCGAAGAAGCCGACAGCCCCTCCCACAACTCGTTCGCGCTTTATCTGCGGCATAGTCGTGCGCGCAGGCGTCGTGGCAGTGCCTCCGCGATCTTGCCCAAGTGCTCTGGCAGATCTTGTCGTCGTAAGATTTCCTCAGACACGGCGATATACGACTCTCAAAACCATGAGCTATACTAGCCACTTCTGTTGTACAAGATTACTGTAGAGGTTAGGTGAATAAGACCCCAGAGACGTATCCACAATCCCTCTGTGTTGCTCTGGTGGACACTAGGCTGCATTAAATTCACCCACCCCATGCACGCCATCTACTCAAATCACTGGCTTTTACGAGCAGAATAGTAATCTTGGTAAGGTACCGCCCGCTCTGGGGAAGTATCGACGACAGGTGCGCATGCGAGTCTTACACTACACTGCGCGCCTGACTCACCTGCATGCATCAGATCATCTCCGCATTCACCCAAATCAACCCCATAGCAAATGTAACGTCAACATGCGCCCATCTCCCCAGCATCGCACACCGATGACGGCAGCGCCGGGCGCCAGTTTGCCAGACGCCCCATACCGCCCGACGTCAGCCGTCCTACCAGTGGCGAAGAAGAGTCGTGTGTCTCGCCAATCTCCGTTTTTGGGGGCGAGATTGGGGCCTCCATTGGACGCTCAGCGTTGTGTGCTGTCCAATATCGAGGTTCCGTCTGACGGCAGATTTAAGCGGTCGTGCCGACATGCACAGCATGCGAGATCTTACGGGTAGCCAGTGCCGCTCTGCTGCAGAACCAGGTGTCTGCTGCAAGACTTACATTGCTTGCGCAAACGTGGCGTGAGTGCTCTCCCGCGCAGGGGGGAGGGGCTGCGTGTGATGGCACGGTGTATACGAAGTGGTCTACTGCCTTCCAGAGATGGATGGATCTCGCTCGTGGGATGGCCATGCGAAACCTGATTGCGAAAGCGGGAATAGTCAGACTCGACACGTCGGGAAGTACAGTTGTCGTCCACCAATACTTGCTGTCGCCTATCGCGCCTTTATCTCAAAGCAACTACACGTGCGCTGTGTCACCCACCTATACCTAGGTACCCACCCACATTTATTTCCACATGGCGAACATGGAAGGTAGGAATAACAAATCATGCTATGGAGCAGCTTTTGGAGGACCCTGCATAGCCATGTCGTCTCGGAGGCCCTTTTGCAGCGATTCGCGCGAGCCGCGTTTTGCTCACATCGATTCCTTCGATTCCCAGAGTCGTCTCGGAACGGGAAAAGTGCGATTGTACTTCGGCTGCCGCGACGCGAAGCTGCGTGGGATGAATAGCATAATGTACAAGGTAGTGAAACGAAGGAGGATGGCTGAGTCTCCAGTCGTGGCCAAACTCTGCGTTTGCGTCCTCGATCACACGAAAGGTCGTCGAACGTTACTCTCTCATCTCATTCGCAACCGCACCACATGCTCGCGGATGACGCGCGCCCGGTCAACGGGCGGGTTATAACGGAAGCACGGATCGGAACGTCGAACGACGCACCGAAACCCAAATCCCTCTCATGGTTTATTCGCCTCGACATGCACCCACACAGCGCCAAGAATAGCATGCCACCACATGGTCCCACCTCTTGATGATGCGTGTGGGGAGCTCAACGATTGGCGGAAGCTTAACCTGCCTTCTGAGCAAAAACTAAACTTTGTCTTGAATTTTCCTGATTGGCGGGGTTGGCTTGCCTTGCGAGGGTGCGAGTAAGCAAGTGATTTGACATCTTATGATATGCAGCGCGTGGGCCGACTGAGTTGCATCCCCGTTCCTTGTTGTGTGTTGCATGCTGGCAAAAGGAGTTAGCAGGCTCACGTGACTGGTTCCTGGGCTCGGTTACCTGTCACTCCTTTACAGGGCTTTGTCATTGCTGACATGCATGGGCCACGGCGTGTTGCACCGCGTGGCTTGCATGGTTGGGCTCTGAGCTCAGAGTCCTGGGGAAGGCGATGCACATTTTCCGACAAGGATGATGCTAGTGTGATGCATACGTGACCCGACAAGACGGTTCGGCGTTTGGGCTAGCTGCAGCATGGAGGGTGGGTACGTGCGGGATTATAGAACTGGCGAGCGTGCCATACGCGATGCGCGACATGCGATGCAAGATGCGATGCTGGACTCGTTGCGACCTTGCTATACCTAGGTACTTGACCCGCTCCGCCGGCTCTCGTTGGGGTGTGACACCTGAGTGGACGGGTTTAGTCATGTCTGACACGACTCGCCGCATATTGCATGCCGCCGCTTGAGGCTATTGGTATTTGCGCCAGACTCCATACGTACGTTGACAACGAATCTTGATGTAATGGGATTCATATCGGTTACAAGCTGCCTTCAATACGTGCTACCGAGGACGGTTGGGGAACTCGTGTCGAAGCGCAAGTGCTCACGATCATGCATGTAATGGAGTGGGGTGTGCAAGTCTTGCCCCACAGTTCTGCAGATTCCTGGGCGTATTCTAGTTGCGAAGATCAATTTTGCGCAGCAGGATCGCCATGTCTTCTCGAGTCAAAGAACGTGTAAGGGGTTTATCGCGAACACATTCGGCAGGTGCGAAGAATTCAGTTTGAAAAGAGCGCCGTGCGATATTTGCTTTGTCGTCCTGCAACGTAAGGCGAAAAGACCATGTAACCCTCCTATGCGCCAGATATACAAGGTCATTGAGTCAGTCGTACGATCCGGTGAGGAATCTGCTCATGGCCCGCTCTATGGAACAGCATCGTCGTGCAGTAAAGCAAATATTACATGC